TGTTTTTATAAATTAAGAAAAATAAAAATAAAAATTAATTTATTAATTAATAAATATCATATTATAGTGTGTATATATATATATATATATATATATATATATATAATATCATAATTAAATCCTTACAAATTTAATTATAAAAGAAAAAATAAATTAGTGGGTCTCGTCTTCCTCCCCATGATGCGTACAATGGCCATTAACCTCCCATGACACTCCCTTCACGATGCATGATGCATGTTATGGTTCCCATTAACCTCCCCATAACACTCCATTGGAGATGCTCTAATGGTGGTTAGAGAAACGGACCAAATTTGGTCATTTTTGTATACCATAATTACGAATGTGTAATTCTATAACTGTAAGAACCAAAAGTGTTAGAGATAACAAACCATAGGGGCCAAATTTGTTCCTTACTCTTTTATATATATAAAAATCTGATAGCTAATATTAAACCATTCGTAACATGTAAACAAAAATCAGTTGCAAATTTCTTGTATTTAGTTCATAAAAATTAAATCGCTAAACTCATCAATTCTTTTTCCCATTTTCTTCCTTCAACATTTTGGAAGATCCTTTGGAGGTGGCAAAATCGACTCCTTTGCTCCCTTCCCATTTTCCACCAAGAACGCCATTTTTAACCCCCAACTTGTGTGCACTTCCAGATGGCAATGCAGGAACCACACTCCAGGATTATCAGCTCGAAATCGAATCGCTACCCAACCGCCCGAAGGCACCCCAATTGTGTTCCGTTCAACAGGGTCGATAACATTGAAATTCTTCGAGTCGATCTTAGGGTTATAGTTTCCAATTCCCTTCCCGACTGCGAAGAAATTGAACCCATGGAGATGAATCGGGTGGTTCTCTGGAGCTATTATACTCGTATCTTGTAGTACCAATTGAACGGTGGAATTATATTTTAGCCGATAGAGCTTGGTTCCGGTATTCGTAGATAGGTTTGTGGGTGGTGGTCCAGTATAATTGAACGCACTCGGCGGATTAGCAGGGAAATCTGTAGTGAAGACACCTTTGGTGTTGAAATAATGTGCTTGAAGGAGAGCTGTGGTGGGCATTACAAAAGTAATATTGTTAATGCCCGCCACAACTCGGCTTCCGTTGCCCGCTTTACAAGTCGGGCATGGGTTGATACCCAACCCGACTGTAAAATATAAGGAATGATCGATCTTTAAGGGCACTTTGGCAGGAAACCTTTTCGAGTTCAAGCTACGGAGGGAATTTATGAAGTTGTTAGCCACTACGGTGGCATTTATTGGCGGTGGGGTGGTTAGGGTGGTGGGAGAGGAAGAAAGGGTGCCGGTGTAGTGGATGGTGGCAGTGGCGGTCTTGTTGTCGACTGCAATTGGCGAGTCCATGAATGGGGCAGCAATCATCGCGTACTTGCCGGATTTCTTGTCGGCTGTGATGATGGCATTGGTGGTTTGGCCCGGTGCTATCACAATTGTGTCAGTTTTGAACGGTTTCACATAGACGGCGTCCACTTCAACCACCGTGAGCTGGTGGCCGGCGATCTTAAAGAACAGTTCTTCGTTGAGTGCAGCGTTGATGATACGTAGCATGTAAGATTTTCCTTTTTCTACACTCAATTGAAACCCTCCTGCAATTAAAAGAAGAACTAATTAAAGCATCATAATTCATTCAAATGGCAACACAAATTTAAGGGTTTCACATATTCTTGAATGATACTGAAACACTAAAACTTAATAGTGTCGAACAATCTGTACACGTCTAATCTCCTCTCAACACTTTAACGGACGATCTGTTCGTCAATGGCTTTCTTGTAGAATAATGTGTTTCATATACTATTACACCTACCTTGTGTTTGGCAACCAAGGTTTCGTCCGGGATGACCATTGATCGTATGGGCATCCGAGATGTTCGGAGCCAAACCAGATTTCATTGCTTGATTGATCACGGATTCGGTATCTGATTTCCACCATTCACCTGCAATATCAAGAAGCCGGGCAATGGTTAAACGAATAAAAAACCCCTCTTTTAGAGCTACAGCGACCAAACGCATAACAAGTTGTATACAACTTTCGCCGTATAGTTGTTCTTAATTTGTCCATTGTAGTTTGGAAACGAATTGAAGTTAAAGATCTAACCTAAAATCACAACTTGTTCCATATGGGGTTTGGGAAATGGATACGGAACACCAAGTTTAGGCAAGATGACAATGGCACCATGGACTGTGGCCCTTAGCCACAAAATATGAGCATGCCAGAAAAGCGTGCCCCGTTGCCCGGTGATCGTGAAGTTATACACATAGTTCTGCCCAGGTTGGATGGGGCATTGCGTTATGTATGCTGGGCCATCCGCCCATCCTGTGCGCAGTTGTCTTATTCCATGCCTGCCATTAAAACAGTAAAAAAGAGTTTGTACAAGTATACCACACTCGAACCAACTAATCGGGACAGTAAACATGAAGTTGATTCTCACTCTCAGGTAAATTTCATATGACCAAATCTTTGATTGTATATAAAACTGTACCAGTGGATGGAGACGTTGTATTTGACATGGTTGACGACCTTGACGAGCACGTTATCACCTTCCCGAGCGTAAAGAGTTGGTCCAGGAAAACGACCATTAACGGTCACAATAGGCTTGCTTGAGCATAAACGGTTCGCATTCTTTGTAACCACCTATGTACATGCACATGTGAATTACGATACGGAATTGAGATCTTTTCGATCCTAAATTATTTCGAGTTCGTTATATAATACAAATATATACGAAATTAAGCCTGTTTATTATGTGATCGAACCTGACCCAAACGGCCAAACCAAACCTTTTTTAAGCATGCATGCATGCACGTCATGTATACAACTAACTTCATGTCTTCAATTTAAAAAGATGCACTGCATCAGTGTTTCGTGATCATTTGAAAACGAAAAATAAGAAAAATACCCCAAAAGAAGACACTACTCACATTGAACTTGTAGTGACGAACCCGACCCTGAACCAGCAATGGGAACAAGAACCCGATCACCATTAAAGCTCGAACCCAACTCTCCATCTTCATAAATTTGATTAGATGGTGGGTGTGTGTGTGTGTGTGTGAGAGGTGGGGATGAGAGATCAATGACTAGCCAACGCAAGCTTATATATGGATTATGACCTGATTGCTGAGACGTCGTTTTAGCAGGAGCAGAGGCAGCAGCAGCAGCAGCTGCTGGTAGTAGTTTGAACAGGAAGACGACACTTGATTTATTTCTTTGTTTCAAAGCAAGCGTCGATTTATTGTTAGGTTTGGTTTATCGCATTTCTTGGGTTTCACATAAAGTAATAGAGGTTGGGAGTTAGTTTAGAGTGTCTATTTCTAATCAAATATTCTCTCTTTTAATTTATTTATATTAATTAATTAAAAACTCCAATTTTATTGTTAAATGGATATTATGAGTCAGAGGCGGAACACAAGCTTTTTAAACGAGGGGAACCTAAATTTTATAAATGCGTCGTATAAACGAGTGTATGTACAGTTTGCTTCAATTAGGGTTGTAAACGAGAAAAGACACTACCTAAAATTAGGGCTGTAAACGAACACGAACGATAAACAAACGAAATTTTTTATGTTCATGTTCACTCGTTAAGAAAATGTGCTTGTTCAAGTTCGATAATATTCGTTTGTTAAGATAGATGCTCTTTTAAAGCGCAACTCATAGGTGATCCAAATCCCTTTTTACACTTAACACACGACTCTAACCGTTTTAGAAGTCTTGTTAAAACTAGATTTGATTTCGTAACGATTTTCCAAAAATGTTATATAAAAAGTTGATATGATGATTTAATTCTTGAGTTCGAATAGAATGTTATTTTATATGTTTATTTCGAATTTGTTTCATGAGTATGGTGTAAAATGTTATAATATATAAATTATAGTGGAATAAATGCAATTTTGCAAGTTGCATTTTACATAGGGATGAATATCGGAACCAGACATTTGTCTGTGGAACTATCAGTTCTTGGATTAGAACCAATACAATTGGTTACGGTTCTTAAAATACGGAACCAATCGGGACTAGTTCTGGTTCCGCTTCTCATTTTTTTGGAACCGTTAATCGTTGGGTACCTGTAGGGATTGATCGAAATCGAAGCCGACGGGGACCCGTTATTTTTTTAATAAAAATTATTTTATATATTTATTATATTCAATAAACTAAAATTTAAATTATTAATTTACTTTTTAGGATTACACTTATCACCGCTTCCTTAAGAATTGAATTAGTTCTCTCAGTCTCTTAGTCCCTTAGTTTTTAGTTTTATAGGTTTAGTTTTCACCATTTGTAGTATTTACTTTTTTATGTTGTTACTTTGTAATAGACTAGTAATTACTTTTTGATAGTATAAAAAATGATAAATTTTTTAAAAGAAACCGAGTACTCGGTACCAATTCCCAAATATAAAGAACCTCTGTAACTGATTTCGGTTCCATTTTCTTCATTAATTCCAGGAATCGCCGGTTCTGTTTTCGGGACCGGTTTGATAAATTTGGTCGGGTACGCCTTTGCTCACCCTTAAATTTTTACATGTGATATGGTTGGTCCGGTAGCTTGAAGTCACATGTTAAAAAGGAAGGTTAGCAGCTCTCAATTAGGGAGGACCTAGAAATTTTTTCAAATGTTGATATCTTTTGATTATAAGAAACATATTGGGAATATTTTTTACAAATCATCGTTGGTCTGGTGGTTAGTCCATTGTTTTTCTTATGTGAGGTCATGTATTCAAGTCTTTTATTGCAAATTTTTTTTCCAGAAACATAATAAATCTCAAATTAAAAGCCAAAAAACTAAAAAAATGACACTAACGAGATTCCAACTTGGGTCTGGGGTGTAAAAAAAACCTTACAAACCAACTCTACCAAGGAAAACTTATGTTTTTATCGTAGTTTCAAAATATATATGATGAAAGAAATCATGAAGAATGAAGATGGTATATTGGTATTTGGATTTATGTATCCTTGTTTCAAACTTTGGTATATTATCAGTATTATGAGACTAGATGAAGAATCGTGTGAGAAGGAATCTTGACCCTTCATCACCTTTAATCTCAACTCACCCATGAATCGCGTTTAATAGGGAGATTGATCCAGTGCATCTCATTTCGGTGCATCTAATCCTAATGTGCATCGAAGAATGAAAATCCCTTCTTATTCTTCTCATTTTTAACTCCCCTTTTCAACGGAACCCAACCCAATGAAACCATGACTCTTATGTAGTTTTTTTTTGAGTTTTTAAATGTTGAAAATTGGATCTTCTGAATATTTCTTTGTTCATTTTGTTGAACTTTAGACTTTCACTTAAATAATTAAATTAGATATTAGATTGAGTTAAGATTATATTGCATCTTAAATCAATTAAGAAAATGGAAATGAATAATTTGTTTGGAAATTTGGAATGAAGTAAGAACCATGAAGATGTCAAGTTGCAAAGCTGGAACATCAAACATGGTGTTGGAAAATTTAAAAAATATTGTTTCCACCCTGAAATCCGACCCGAACCACCTCGAAACTGACGGACTTGTTCATACTCTCTTTACACTTTGGATTCTATCCCCCCACCTGAAACCCGATCAAGTATTGGGTTTTTCCACCAACCTGACCTAACCTGACCCGACCCGACCGTTGCACACCCTGACCTATGATAAGTGTCAATTTTACATATATTTTTATGCTAAAGTTGTCTAATAATTAATATTAATTAGATGCTTAAAAGTTCTAATTTAGTTTTAATTATTTGAGGCAATTCAAGTTGGGAAAGAAAAAAATAACAATTTGATTATTTATTCATTTTTCTTTTGTTTTCTTGTTGATCTCACAACAAACAGCCCAACAGAAAAGGCCCATCAGCACTAATAGTCCAACAATCAGCAGCCCATAAAAAATCAGCAGCCCAACAGAGGTTTTTTTTTATCGAGCGATAGAAGCAAGGCTGCTGCCCAAGACCAAAATCAGAACGATGGAGACGGGATTTTGTGCAGCAGAGACATGGGCAGAACGATGGAGACGGAAGATCGTGGGCAGAGAGGGATCGAGGGAGCAGAGTCGGTCGATAAAATTGGGAGCAAAGGAGGCGATTGGGGCTGTTGATATAGAGGAAATCAAAAGGGCAGCGATATATAGCGAGCTCGAGACAAAAATCAGGGGAGATAGAATTGGAGAGAAGCTGTCGATTAGAGAGGAGATTAACAAACGAAAGCAGAAATTGAGAGGATTTTTAGAAGAAGGAAGGATTGTCGATCGAGAAGCTGTCGATTGAGATTGAGAGGGATTTAAGAAGCTGTAAATTGAGAGGACGAAGGGCTGTTAAAAAAGGTCAGTAGCAAAACAGAAGCTGTCGAAAGAAGAAGAAGTCGAGAGGGAGAAGCGGTCGATTGGAGAGAAGCTGTCGATTGGGAGGAGAAACAGGGACCAATTTCTAGATTTTAGGAGTGTTTTCTGAGACGAATTCTAAAGGTTATTGTCAATTTCTCCGTTTCAATCAACAGGTTAGTTTACATTTATTTTAGACATGA